AGGAATGGCTCCCAGCAGGAGGTGGGCACCCTGGCCAGGTGGCCCCACAGGATCCGCACGCTTACCTGTGCCTGCTTCTCGGGGGCCAGCAGCGAGTAGAGCGGGAGCACGTGGAGCGGGAGGGAGGCTCCGGGCTGCTCACCTGGAGGGAGGTTGCAGGCAGGAGCCTCAGGACCCAGCTCCCCTGCCCAACCCCGGGCTGGGGCTCTACACTGTGGGTGGTCCAACAGAGCCGCCCCCACCAGGTCCCAGCCACCCGCGATGCTGCGCCATCTTCCTCCCGACAGCCTGGCTGTGACCCAGGGCATGCAGGGGTGCCTTCGACTGTTCTACGCGGCCCTGGGTGGACACAGCAGGGCATGGGGCTCCTGTGTACACAGGCTGGCCCCTCCGTGACCACCAGATGGCTGGCTACTCTGTGCCAGGGGACAAAGGAGCTGGAACCCCAGCTCCTGGAGGCTCACATGCCAGCCCCCTTGGTCACGCCGCAAGGGCAGGGCTGTCGGTGTCTCGGCGGGGTCTGCCGGGCTGACATGTGGATGGTTGGATGAGCACAGGCTGAGTCTGGGGACTGAGCGTGCTCAAGATTGGGGGGCTGTAGGGCCACACCTCCGTCCCCGCCATCATCCCCGAGGTCCAGGTCGAGATCGGAGCCCAGGGCCTCCTCGTCGTCCATTTCCGCCTCCCTGTCCTTGTCACCATCGCCCACAGGCAACACCGAGTAACTGTCCAGGCTGATCTGGGGCAACATCTATAGCCAACGAGACAGGACACCATGGGCTGCAGGTGCCGGCGCCAACATGGCGCGTACACCTGCAGCTGCGTGGGCCCCGCTCCATCCACCGCGATGACCCCAGGTGGGTCTCTGGCTCCGTTTGCCTAGATCCTCGCCTAAACCAGGGCTGCCATGGGACTTATCCCCAGGGTTGGCATGGGGATCCTTAGCTTGTGGGGAACTCGAGATGCTGCCTGGCTTGTGAGCGGGTGGGAGGGGGAGCGCACGGACTGCCCTCCAGCCCAGCCTGCCAACCTCGGGAAACGGCCCCTGCCCCTCTCCCAGCTCTTCAGCAAACACCCAAGAGTCTGCTCCCCTCCAGGGATCCTCTGAGCCTTGCTCGGGTGCTTGGGGCGCCACCTTCCAGAGGATTCCTCTCAAGGTATCTCAAAGCTTAACCCCAGCCCGCAGCACCCTCTCCCTCGGGCCCGTGCAGGTGTGCTGTCCACCGAACTCCTGAAGGGTCTGGTGTAACTGAACATGTGGGTTTTAAATCTCTTCTCTCTGACAACAGCTGCTTGCGTCCAGTCACTGTCCCGGAGGACACGGCCCTGGGGCCAGAGTTGCCCGGAGCCCCGCACGTACCGTGGCCTGCTTCTTCCTGGCTCGCGCCTGCGACTTCTTGAACTTCCTTGTCCCTTCCATCGAGTCCTCCTGCCCTTCCTTTCCTGGGAAGTGGGCGGAGGGAGACGCTGTGGTGGCGCTGGGTGACCAGCAGGGCCCTCATCGCTGGAGCAAGGCCATTTACTCAGGCTGGGGGGAGAGGGAGGGAGCCGGTGCTGGGGAGCCCCGGAGGCTGGGCCGAGACTCCATGTGGCAGGGGAGCGGGCGCCCGTTACCTTGTGTGCCAGCGCCGGGCCTGAGGGCCGGGAAGGTCTTCCTGAGCCTGCGGCACAGGGCATGCACCTCCGCCTGCCCCGTCAGGAACACCAGGATGCCGCCTGTGGGAGACGCGCCTCCGTTATGTCAGTCACTCAGCAAACAGCGGCCTAGCCATGTGTGTGGGCAGGCCTGCTCTGCACAGCGAGGCTGCAGGACAGCCAGGAAGCCAGAACTGCAGAGCCATGGACGGACAGACAAACAAGCAAGAACGGGCACGCCAGACCGAAGGTGCACTCTGGGGGCACCCTCGGAATGGCGCGGAGGCAGTGGACAAGGAGTCCCTGCAACGCTGCCCGCACAGAGGCAAGAGGCCGTGTGGTGTCCCCTGCCTCACTCCCATCTCAGCCTCCACTTGGTCTCCCGGAATGGCCATGGCCCTGAGCCCTACACACAGGGGCGACTGCACCAGGACAGTTGTCCGGGAGTGTCTCCACTGCTCTCAGCCACTCTGACATGGACGAAGCCGGCCGGGCAGTGTAGCTGAGAGCCTCGGGCAGAAAGACCGGCAGCTGGGGCCAGCAGATGGCATAATAGTTACATGGCTAGATACCCACAGGACTAACTGTGGTTCGAGTCCTGGGCCCGGTGGCTTGAAAATCATGCTGGGCTCATTGTGCGTGCCCAAGATCCCAGTGAGAGAACGGAGGAGAGGGGACCGCAGTATGGCCCTCTCCCCTGGGGGTGGCCGCTCACCTTTCCTCCTCACTATCTGTCAAAAACCTCTTACAAAAAGGAAAGCCAGGACGGCGGTCCCGGCCACTGTGCTGTTTAGGGGAGGTGGGGTTACTGTCTATCCCGGTGAGCGAGCTGGCTCCTGTTAATGTCGTTTTCCATGGACACAAGCCTGTTCGCCCAGTAAGACAAAACGAGGGGACTGACTGAGCGCGTGAGATGGTGAGGAGACGGGCGAGGCACCTGGGCCCTGGGCGGCGTCCTGCTCAGCAGCTGTGGACAGAGCACAGCCCCCACGCTGCCCCCTGGCAATCAGAGGCCTCCCTTAGAGTGGTGGATGTGGCAGGGCGGGTGCTGAGAGCCAGACCCGGGGAGGAAACGGGCATAGCAAAGACAAGGCCCCGGGGCCAGCCAGGCCCACCTGCAGGCAGCATCCGGTGGATCTTGCAGACCTTCCGGAAGCATTCGCCGCTGTAGTCCTCGAGCGGCGTCCGCTTGTTGAAATGCACCGTCACGGGGAACTGCCGGGCCGCCACCTAGGGACCAGAGGCGAGGCGGGCTTCGGCCCCGCTGTCCTTCCCAGCTGGCTCTCCTGCCCGATACACTGCCGCCCTGAGTGACAGAGGGGTCCGGGACGAGCCTGGCCATTACCTTGATGACGGGGGGTGGCTCGGCGAAGTGCCGCCGGTTCCGAGGGAAGTCCTCCAC